ATTGGGAAACCTAGAAGAAATGGAAATTCCTGGACACATATAATCCAACAAAACTGAGTCATCAGAAAACCTAAACAGACCAATAACCAAGACTGGGACTGAATCAGTAATAATGACCCTCCCAACAAAGAAAAGTACAACTGGATGGCTTTACTCCTGAATTCTACTAGACATCCAAAGAACTAATTCCAATTCTTTTCAAGCTATTCAAAACAACTCAAAGGGAGGGAATCCTCCAGAACTCCTTCTATGAGACCACCATCACCTTAATTCCTAAAGCAGAAAGTTACAACAGAGAAGAGAACTATAGACCAACAGCCCTGATGAACAGAGATGCAAAAATCCTCAACCAAATATTAGCTAATCGAATCCAACAACATATCAGAAAGATCATTCACCCAGACCAATTTGAGATCTGTCCCTGGTATGCAGGGATGGTTCAACATTTGAAAATCAATGTGATACACCACATTAACAAATTGTGGGGAAAAAAACATATGATTATCTCAATAGATGCAGAGAAAGCATGATAAAATACAACATACTTTCATGATGAAAACCTAAGCAAATGGTATAGAACAAACATTCCTCGACACAATCAAGGCAATTTATAACAAACTCATGGCCACCAACCTATTGAATGGAGAAAAGCTGGAAGCATTCCCACTGAGAAACAACCAAATCACGAGGCCCATTCTCGCCTGCTGTGCCTGATTTCCCCCACACTCGCCACTGCTATTTAATATAGTCCTGGAAGTTTTAGCCAGAGCCATTAGGCAAGAAAAAGAAATCACAGGGATGCAAATTGGAAAGAAGGAAGTCAAACTATCTCTAATTGCAAAGGACATGATTCCACATAAAGACTCCACTGAGATACTGGAATCCTTTATAAAAATGTGGTGAAGGGGCCAGCGCCGTGGCACAGTAGGTTAATCCTCTGCCCACGATGCTGGCATCTCTTATGGGTGCTGGTCTGGTTCCGGCTGCTCCTCTTCCAATCCAGCTCTCTGCTATGGACTGGGGAAGCAGTGGAAGATGGTCCAAGTCCTTGTGCCCTGCACCTGCATGGGAGACCTGGAGGAAGCTTCTGGCTCCTGCCTCTGGATTGGCACAGCTCCGGCCATTGCGGCCTTTTGGGGAGTGAACCAACGGACGGAAAACCTTTCTCTCTGTCTCTCCCTCTCACTGTCTGTAACTGTTAGGGATCCACTGGCGAAGAAGCAAAACTCATTTAAACTGCGCTGTAGCAAAGCTTGCAAGAGGAAATGGCCTAACCACAAACTGTTATGGCCTAATCGCAAACTGTTATAATGGCCTAACCGCAAAACCGTTATAACCGCTGCTGCCATGACTACGGGGCTTGAAGGGAGGGAACATAGGCGGGGCTAATCCTAACCAAGGATATATAATTATGAAGACCCTCAGACGCTTCTAATTCGGAGCGCTACTCAGCCTCCCTCCCTGGTCCCCGGTCCGTAGAGCCTAGTGCCCACGGGGAGAAGCTCCTGATCTGTAGAGCCTAGTGCCTGCAGCAGCCAGCTGAGTGGCCTTCCTTCCTAGTGCCAGTGTAATAATAAAGAGCATTTAACCTGATTCTTCTCAGTCTCCTCTGTGAACCCTCCATCAGCGTCCTGGCCAGTCATGGGTGGTGGCGGGAAAGCTGACAGTAACTCTACCTCTCTAATAAATACATAAAATCTTCATTAAAAAAAAAGTAGTAAAGTGGCAGGATATAAATTCAACATACAAAAATCAATAGCCTTTTTATACACAGAAATTGCCACGGCTGAGAAAGAATTTCTAAGATCAATCTCATTCACAATAGCTGCAAAAAAAAATCTTGGAATAAATTTAACCAAGGATGTCAAAGATCTCAACAATAAAAATCACAAAACATTAAACAAGGAAATAGAATTAGACATTAAAACAGGGAAAAATCTTCAATGTTCATGGAACGGAAGAATCAATACCATCAAAATGTCTATACTACCAAAAGCATTTTACCAGCTTCAATGTAATCTCAATCAAAAAAAGAATGACATTCTTCACAGATCTAGAAAAAATGATGGTAAATTTCATACGGAAACACAGGAGACCCCAAATAGCTAATCTTATACAACAAAAACAAAGCTGGTGGCATCACAATACCAGATGTCAAGACATACTGCAGGATAGTTATAATCAAAACAGCCTGATAATGGCATAAAAACAGACATGCAGACCAACGGAACAGAACAGAAACTCCAGAAATCAATCTACGCCCCTACACAAACTTATCTTTGACAAAGGAGCTAAAATCAATCCCTAGAGCAAGGACAGTCTCTTCAACAAACAGTACTGGGCAAACTGGATCTCCATAGTCAGAAATATGAAACTAGACCCTTACCTTACACATTACCCAAAAGTCTACTCAAAATAGATCAAAGACCTAAATCTATGACCCAATACCATCAAATTACTAGAGGATATTGCAACACATTGACATAGGCAAAGACTTCTTGGAAAAGTCCCCAGAAGCACAGGCAATCAAAGCCAAAATTAACAAATGGGGTTACATCAAGCAGAAAAGCTTCTACAATACAAAAGAAATATTCAGCAAAGTGAAGAGGCAACCAACAAAATGGGAGTAAATATTAGCAAACTATGAAACATAAAGGGTTAACCTCCAGAATCTATAAAGAGTTCAAGAAACTCAACAGCAAAGCAAACAATCCACTTAAGAGATGGGTAAAGAACTTGACCAGGTGTTTTTCAAGAGAGGAAATTCAAATGGCCCACAGGCACATTAAAAAAATGCTCAGGATCACTAGCCATCAGGCAAATGCAAATCAAGTGAGGCTTCACCTCACTCCACTTAGAGTGGTTCTCATAAAGAAATCAACAAATGCTGGCAAGGATGTGGGGAAAAGGGTACCCTAATCCACTGTTGCTAGGAGTATAAACTGGTACAGCCACAGTAGAAAACAGTATGGAGATACTTTGGAAATCTGAATATAGACCTACCAATATGATCCAGCCATTCCACTGCTCAGAATTTACCCAAACCAAAAGAAATCTGCATATGGAAGTGTTATCTGCACCCCGCGGATTCATGATACCCAAGATATGGACACTCAAATAGCCACCAAGTGTTGACTGGATATAGAAATCATGGAAAATATACACTATAGAGTACTACTCAGCTGTTTGAAAAAAAAGAAATCCTATCTTTTGCAACAAAATGGACCCAAACTGGAAACTAGTAAACTTAGTGAAATAAGCCCGTTCCAAAGAGAGATATCATGTTTTCCCTCATCTGAGGTAACTAACAGGGCACCTAAAATGTAATGTTTAGGAGCAAAATGGACATTTTGAGACTCGATGATTGTTTACAACCTTTGTCTCTTCCACTGAGGAACAGTGGTTTTTTTTCCTTCATAGTTTGCTGAACTCTTTTACTTAATGTGGGATAAACTTTATGAACATTAAGGTAACTGAAAGTAGATCTTTGTAAAAATTAAGGTGGGAATGGGAGAGGAAGGAGGAACAGGGGCGGAAAGGACAGTAGTGTGGGAAGTGTCATTGTTCCTAAATCTGTATATATGAAATGAACTTGGATAACTTCAATAAAATTAAAAAAAAATAACTAAATGATTAAACACTAACTGCATTAACTAGCTTGACTGAATTCACTTTTTTGGTTAGAACCAAAAAATAAAAAATTTGCAACCATAAGAGCATTGTATTCATTCTACCAGGTTCTCCACCCTAAGATACAAGGGAGGCACTTTGCCTAGGTCTGCTTGTGGCCCCCTTCCCATTTCTCTTCTTCCAGAACACCTGGATCATTTCCAGTGTTCCATTTCAGTCCTCTCACTTTCTATTGCTGTGTACAAGTATTTTCTAACTGTTTTTTAAAATTTCCTTTCCTCAAATTTCAGTCTTTACCACAATATAACTGGGATAAGTTCTGTAATTAGAGACAAAGAACTAAATTTGTTAAGCTCAAGACAGTGGACCTTCCTGTAGTGTTAAGAGTGATTTCCTGTTTATCATCCAAATAAATGATAAATTCCCTGTTAGGCAGAAATATGCACATTAGAAATTTTCTGAATACCTAAGAACACTAAATATCTCCTTTACTCCTGGCTACAATTGTTCAGAAGTTTTCGTACACAGCCATTTTAAACCCTGTATTCTGTAAGAATTTTCTTTAAACTGACATCTAGAGATACGTTTTTGCTGATATATAACCCTATAAGAATTTGAAAATACAGTTTCATTAAATAAAACTTCTTAACTCAATGTTTCCTAAACAGTATTTTGTAGATACATTTTCAGGTCCATAACAATTTTATCTTTTTGTAAGATTTGTGTTATCAAATTTGGTTAGTATTCATGTTCTTCTGTGCTAAAATATTTCTCTGCCCATGATCTTGATAAACAGAATTCATTTGAACCCTTATTGTCACCAAATATGTCAGCAACTATGTTTTAGTTAAAAACCCAACTGATGTTACAGAAAATTAATAACTTGCTTTGAATCAATCAACTATGAAGCCAGCTTACATAATTGAGTCTGGCAGTGCCAAATCATGTCTGAGATGAAACATTGCATAATACATAATCAAACAGATACATAAAAGCTGTGAGATGGGGGGAGACAGCGTTTTTTCCCAGCACTCCTGGATAGCAAGGGAGCACACAATAAAAGGTTTAGAGAGCTGCACCGACAGGTTTTCCATGTTGTGGTGGCTATTGATACTGAGAACATTTTAGAAGTTCATCTCAATCACTCAAACACTCCACACCACCACCATCTATTTATCACATTTTAATAGGAATTCTGTGTTAATAGATTCTATCCCTTTGTATTTGTCCCATCATATTATTTGGGTCATACCTGCTGTTAGAAACAATGTTTGGCCCATCTAGCCTCAATATAAATAAAAAGCTTTTACCACATAAACAAGGTCAGTTTGTTCTGTTTGGGGGATGCATTAATATGACTAACTACAAGGTAACAACATAAAATTTATTCTATTGCATCAACCTTGTATGGGTAGAAAGGAAAGGCACTAAACAACTAAAAGATGCATAACAATCAGATTTTTGTACCAGCCTTCAAATGTATACATATGTACATAGATAAGTAGATAAAATATACATTTCATAAATATATACTTTTTAATATTCCATGTGCACAAGAATATATTTGTATTTCTCTTCATTGCCTTTTTCATTATTAGATAGTTTATCATTGATACACAAATTTATACTTCGTTTCCAGGATACTAAGTAACTGTTCATGTCTAATCCACTAATGATAACAATTTAGGTATTTAGTGCAGTCAAAAATGAGGTGTAATAATTTCATTGCTGCTAAGCTCAAAACAAGTACATTGGCCTGACAGATATTATTAAGGAGATATTTCTCAACTTTAATTTCAGCCACATTAGATTGTTTCCTTGGTTTTCTGGTCATAATCTACAACCATATAAAACTAAGATCAGATTAGTCACAATCTGAGAAGCAAAGATACACTTTTGGATTATGGCAATTTATCTGCAGAAAAGAATGCAAACGTGAGAATTTCCTTTTAGCCTCAAAGTATTAAATCACAGTGTAACTGCAACAATATCTGATAATGAATTCTTGAACACAATTCTTTATTTTTCTAATATTTCTCAGCTTGCATTCTACTGAATTTATTTTTTGTCTTTATGGTTCAGAGCTTATCATTAGTGTCAAATATGCAACATTAGAACAAAAGATTTTATAAATACATACTGTGTGAACAAATTCTCTACAAAAAGTTTTATCTAGTTTCCTTTTTTAAATAAGGAAGGATTTAGCATTTGACACTACACTAATTTACTTTCCATAGGATTCAACTATAGTAGCACAGGACTGCTTATTTCTAAAAGTTATAAATACCCTGAGCATGTGAAGAGAGTGTCCTAAGAATTTTCCAAGGCAGGGGTTGTACAGCAGGTGGATCAAGCTGCTGCTTGGGACATCCACATCCCATGTTGGGAGTGGCTGAGTCCAGGCTGCTCTGCTTTCTTTCCAGCTTCCCGCTAAGGCTGCCAGGGAAGGCAGCAGATGATGGCTCAAATGCATGGATGCCTACCACCCACATGGGAAACTGGGATCGACCATGACTTGTAGTTTTATCCTAACCCAGCCCTGGTTGTTGCAGGCCATCTGGGGAGTGAACCAGAGGATGGAAGGCATCTCTCTCTCTCTCCTTCTCTATAACTCTGCCTTTCAAATAAATTAAAACACTTTTTTTTTTTTTTTTTTTTTGGTCTCAAGCCTATCTTAGGTACCTTGGTGAAACAGGCTGGAAAAAAGTGAGAATAGACACAAAGAATTCTTCTTCTTTTTCTTATAAATCACCCAGACATGAAAGAGACTGCTTTTTCTACTGGAGAACTCAATGGGCTGTTGAGTACAAGATCTAGTAGGAACCATTAAATGCAGTTAAACATACTGCTTTGGGGTAGGCATTTGGCCAAGTGGTTAAGAGGCTGGTTGGGATGCCAGTATCCTATAACAAAGTGCCTGGTTTCAACACCTGCCTCTAGTTCCGGACTCATTTTTTGCTTATGCTGACCCTGAAAGCAGCACTAAGGGTTCACACAGTTTCCTTTGTGGGAGACCTGGATTGAGCTCCAAGTTCCCAAATTCATCTGGGCTCAGTCCCAGCTGTTGTGGTTATAGAGCAGTAAACCAGCAGATGGGAGCTGGGAGCTCTCTGCCTCTCAAATAAACCAAAAAACCTATGTTATTTTAAAGCACTTAATGAAAATGTATCAAATCTAAATGCCTGCCGGCACCGCAGCTCACTAGGCTAATCCTCCGCCTTGCGGCGCCGGCACTAGTCCCGGTTCTAGTCCCGGTTGGGGCGCCGGATTCTGTCCCGGTTGCCCCTCTTCCAGGCCAGCTCTCTGCTGTGGCCAGGGAAGTGCAGTGGAGGATGGCCCAGGCCCTTGCCATTGGAGGGTGAACCAACGGCAAAGGAAGACCTTTCTGTCTCTCTCTCTCACTGTCCACTCTGCCTGTCAAAAAAATAAAAAATAAAAAATTCCATTTCAAAAAAAGAATATTAAAAAAAAATCTAAATGCCAAACATTATTGAGAGAAAAATACAAGAAACATATATCCCCTGTAATTAGAATATTGTCAAGCTCCTAGTATTTTATATAATACTTCTTCATATTGATCAAACACTTGAAAATTACAGTTCAAGAACTCAGATTATATTTCTTATTCATTAAATGACCGATTTATTTATTTATTTATTCTTGAAAGGTAGGGTGTCAAAGAGAGAGATGGAGATGAAAGAAGAAAAAGAAATATCTTGTTATTCTCAAAATGGCCACAACAGCCAGCTATGGGCCAGAAAAAGTCAGGGACTTGGAACTTCATCCTAGTCTCTGCATGGGTGGCAGGGCTCAAACAATCAGGCCACCTTCCACTGCCTTCCCAGGCACATTAGCAGGAAGCTGGATTGGAAGTGGAGTAGCTAGGAATAGAACTGGTGCTCCAATATGGGCTGCCAGTGCCACAAGCAGCAGATTAACCCACTGTGCCACAACACCTGTCCCTAACCTGTATTTTTTAAAATATACTTGGTGTTCACCATCTCTAAGCAACCAAAAGCAGCAAAAAAAGGAGACAGGGGAAGTGACAAATCCCAGTGTGGGCACACAATAAGACTTCTGCATTCAGGTGCCATGTCACTGCTTGCTACTTGTATCCTCTCTTTCCCATTAATACTGACAAGTTAGGGTCTATTGCTAATCATCTAGCTTCACAGAGATGGCAACATTTTTGGTATTGCATTACTTAACCACATTGCTTTTAAGAAATACCCAACCACGGGTGAACGTCCGCTAAAAATTCTGAATAGAAATTTAATTGCCATGGTAACAGTATTCGGGTGGGAACATTTAAAACGTGATTCTACGAGGGGTCTACCCTCATGAATGAATGGGATTGATGCTGTCATAAAAGGATGCCTTCAGGCTGTCTTCTGCCCTTTCTCCTTTGCCATGTAATGATGCAACAAGAAAGCCCTCACAGACGTCGGCACCATGATACTGACTTCCTAGATTTTAGAACAGTAATCCACTGGATTTCTGTTCATTCCAAATTATGCAGTCTGTGGCATTCTGGAATAGTAGTACGAAATGAACTAAGACATGTCCTTTGCTAAGTTCTGAAACTGCACTCTATTCTAGGTCTCCACTGGACTCTCAACCCAGTTTTCGGTTATCTATTTTTCATGTCACCCAATAATCACGCCTTATTTTTTCTGAAAAAAGAAAGGACTTATCTAAAAAGGTATTAGCTTAGCCACTGAGTTCTACTTAGAACATTTTTTTTTTTTTTTACAGGCAGAGTTAGAGACAGAGAGAAAGGTCTTCCTTTCTGTTGGTTCACACCCCAAATGGCCGCTATGGCCGGCGTTGTGCTGATCCAAAGCCAGGAGCCAGGTGCTTCTCCTGGTCTCCCATGCAGGTGCAGGGGCCCAAGCACGCCAGGGCCACAGCAGAGAGCTGGACTGGAAGAGGGGCAACCAGGACTAAAACCAGGGGTGCCGCTGCTGCAGGCGGAGGATTAGCCAAGTGAACCACGGTACTGGCCTTACTCAGAACATTCTAACACATTTGCAACTACCAACACGCAAAGCCATTAGCCATTTGCAACTGTGTTTATATCAACCTACCTTATTACAGGAAAAGGCTAATAATAAAGAATTTTCTATCTGAATTAAGAAACTGTGTGAGTCAAACATTTTAAGCATTTACTTTTATACCAGGATCTAGAGCCACATGATTTCTTAAAAGGAACACTAAGATTAAGGTGGGAATGATGACAATTTATTATTTTGCTCTTCCAAATATGACAGTTGGTGCCCTCATTCGTTTGCACTGTGTAAAAAAACAGCAGATTGGGTCCTTTATAAAAAATAAAAATTTACTTCCCACAGCCCTGGGGGCTACGAAGTTCAAGACTGAGATGCCAACAGGTCTATTATTGATGAAGGCTTCTGTCTGCTTACAACATGGCACCTTACGGCTTGTTAGGGAGGCAATCATTTCCCAACAGGCCCTACCACTTAATACCATGACAGTAATTAACTTTCAACACATGAATTTTGAAAGGAATACATTAAACATTCCAGCAGTTGAGTCCTCCTGAATTCCAAAGGTAAATGTGATTGACAAAACACGCCTCTGAGGACCAAGTAAGATGCTAATTTAAGCAGCTGGTTTTATTTTTCCTTGTCACCAATTTGGATATCCTCACTGCTACCACCAAAAGAATTCCCCTGAGTTTCCAAAGTGAATGGCCAAGAAATTAAGAGTAATGTATTTGTCTTAAAACAGATGTGCAGAACAAAATTCCTAAAATTAACTGCCAGGGTACTGATAAAAAATAGTTCTCTAGGATTTATCTCAGACCTACGTAATTAAACTCTAGCGATAAACTCCAAGAGTGTATATTAAGAAAAAAACTTACCCAGATGATTTCTAGGCATTTCGGAGTTTCAAAGCCCTGAATTAAACATAGGGAAGAAGGCAAAAATTGGACCTAAGTGGTTAAGACACCAACTTAATTGAAAGTAAGGGTCAAGGAATATAATTAAGCTTTATGTTCCTTTGGATATTAAATATTCACTGTTAACCTGATTGGACATTATATAAAGTATACATGCTATGAAATATCACCTAGTACTCCACAAAAATGTGTAACTTTTATGTCTGTTAAAGTTTATTTTTAAATTTTTTTAAAAAAATAAACATTATTTACTGTTAGTACCTCAGGCAAAAATTTTGAAAGATTTTTAAATGCCATGGTGATTACCACTGCTTGATAGTTTACTATATTTATTCCACTCTTTAAAAAAAAAAAAAAAAAAAGGCTTTTAGATTTTACTTTAGTGCTTTTAAAAATTTTGGGGAGACAGCCTGGGGGTTAAGACACTCACATTCTACACTGAAGTGCTGGGTTTGATGCTAGGCTCTGGCTCCAGATTCTACCTTCCTGCTAATGCAGACGCTGGGAGGAAACAGTGATGGCTCAAGTGACCTGGAGTGACGTCCTGGGTTTCGTCTTTGGCTTAGCCCTGCTCCAGCTGTCAAGGACATTTGGGGAAAACCAGCAAAGGGGAGAATTCCCCTTACATTTACACTTTATATAAAAGTCACAGTTCATTTCATTAAAAATTTTGAATTGTTATTCTATAAATATTTATTAAGTATCTAATTTATAACAAGTATATAAGAATCTAGGACACTTTATGGAAGACATATCCCTCAATATATCTTCTTGTGAAACTTAAATAGTATAACCTTCTAAAGAGTATTCAAATGACAGAAACAACAGAAGCTTGCCTGAATGTAAGTAACATTAACTTCATAGAGCTTCTGCCAGTTCTTAAGGCTCTCCTCTTCTACAATTTGTACTTGTTTTGAAGGAAAAAAAAATCATTAAAATTTACTGGTAAGGTACATTTATAATCAAAATCAAATCCCAAACTTCATAAAAACAGTTTATTTTAAAGACTTTGAATAGGGCTTTAGCATTTCATTTTCAGATTCTACCAAGAAGACAATTAGTGCATTTAGTGTATTTTAATCCATAATGAAATCTGTTCTACATCCACCACTGGTTGAGTACCTGTTACTTGAAATGCTTAGAATCAAAAGAATTTCAGATTTGGGAATTTTTCAGATTTTGTATAATGAGGTACCATGGTGAGAGGACCCAACTCAACACAAAATTCATTTATGCTTAATATATACATGCAAGCTGAAGACTATTTTTTAATATGTCTAGCATTCTGACCATGATCCATCATCATAGGACAGGTATACAATTTTCCATCTGCAGCTTCCTGTCAATGCTTAAAGTTTCAGATCTGAGAGCACTCTGGATTTTCAGCTTAGCGGTGCTCAACCTGTTCTATATATACTGTTGGGCAGGGTGGAGGAAGACATAGCTCAAAGGTTTTAATGGAATACTATATTATTGGATTTTTCCAAGAATTTGAGCAGAAATTTTCATATGAATACAATTTCACAAAGGTTACAAATATATACCAACCTACAACTGAAGGAATTATTCAGTATTTTACAGTTTTTCTAAAAATCTAGCTCCATAATCAGTTTCTTTTCTTAAAAAATAAAATACCCTACCATATACTATGAAAGTCCACATTTCTCTGCAAATGCATACAATCTTAATAGTAAGATCCGAAATGAGGAGCACTGCTATCCGCAGATGACGGTGGAGGCGGCAGCGGGGGCGGGGGAGGGGGCGGGGGCAGGGAGTAGGGTAAGTTGAGCATTGGATGAGGGGCCACGTTAGGTGCAGCCCAGCCCATGTTTACAGATGGGGGCGGGGGCGGGGGCGGCGGCGGTGGTGGGGGAAGTGAAAAATTATGCATGTCAAACACTGGAGGAGGAAACGGGTACTGTGGAAGCATGGGATTCTCCTGCCTCTGAGCTGGATACCCTGAAGTCTCCTGCTCTGAGTTGTAAAACTGCTGAGGTGGCGGCCTGCCGTGGCAAGGTCGGGGATATCGGCCCCTGGCGAATCCTCGCGTGAATTCTCTGTTGCGAAATCCTTTCGCGTGCTCTGAGGCCGAGCTGTAAGCATTCCAATTCTGATGCACTTCAGCAAAATCATCACCTATTAGAGGGAAAAAGACATGAAAATACAATGAAGTACATTCAACATATTAAAAAATACTGTATGAAATTTCAATAATTTCTTTTATTATCAGTATATCTTACGGCGGTTACAATACTAAGTTTTAAAACTGTCAATTTTAAAGGAATTAAAAAAGCAAAACTTAAAGCCAAAGGATCAGGACAGATAAAACCACAGAAAACAAGAGAAACCATGGCACCACCCCCACCCACAATCAGAAAGGTGGGCGGGGAGTCTCGGCCTCCTCCTTCTTCACAGACTAATGGGCTGCCCCAACCGTCCCACCAGCTAATGTCAAGAGCAGACCACACAAGGAACAGCATCAATGCCTCCCCAAAATGACAGTGGAGGTCTGCCGGGGGGTCCTAAACATCCGCCCCACCAACAACACAGTCTGCTCCCCTCTGGCACTAGAGCGGCGGCAGCACAGACCAAGTCCAGTTAGGACTTCATCCTCACCTAGTGGTCGTGAGGCTGTCCTGCATCAGGGTCAGTGAACACCATGAGGGAGTGCGGGCAGAGAGGGGGCGTTCCTACCCCCACTATCAGGCACAGCCTAAGACCTCAGTCTTCTATCCTTGCCCAGCAGTAACAAAGCTCCTTGGCTGTGTTTCCAACAGAGGCTAAGAGGAAAAGCTGGACTTCAATCTGTTCCTTTCCGTTTCCCTACAAGATGGTGTTTAAGAAAAAGAAAACAAACAAACCCAGCCAAAACAGATGATTCACGTAAGACCCAAAGTCTCAAAACCCAATATATCATAAAAAGGAGCAGGAAGGTTTCAAACTCAATGAAAAAAGACAGACAAAGCAAAGACATTAGAATTGAGAAAGATATTAAAAGCCATAAAATGCTGCATCAAGAAATGATGAACATACTTTAAAAAGTCTCAGAAAAAAAGAAGATTTTTTTAAAAAAGAATAAGAATCACTGAACTGAAATTTTTTTTTATTTGACAGCCAGAGTTAAGACAGTGAGAGAGAGAGAGAGAGAGAGAGAGAGAGGGAGGGAGGGAGGGCGGGAGGGAGAAAGGTCTTCCTTTCGCTGGTTCATCCCCCAAATGGCCGCCACGGCCGGCACGCTGTGCCGATCCAACGCCAGGAGCCAGGTGCTTCCTCCTGGTCTCCCATGCAGGTGCAGGGGCCCAAAGACCTGGGCCATCCTCCACTGCCTTCCTGGGCCACAGCAGAGAGCTGGGCTGGAAGAGGAGCAACCGGGACTAGAACCCAGTGCCCATATGGGATGCTGGCGCCGCAGGCGGAGATTAACCAAGTGAGCCACGGCACCAGTCCCCTGAACTGAAAATTTTAATTGATATTTAAAAACTCAATAATCCTAAAGGAGAACAACAAAACTAAAAGATCAACACTATCAAACGTCAAGATTCACCTACACAACTACAATAATCAGCTGGTAAAAGACCAACAGGACAGAACAGAGTCCAGTAATAAATTCATACAAACAACTCATCTTTAAAAAAAAAAGTGAATATAGACACAGGCCTTACCCTCTTAACTCAAAATGGATCACAAACCTAAATTCAAAATGTAAAATTATAAAGCTCTTGTAAGGTAACATAAGAGAAAATTTAGATGAAACTTGGAGTGAGTATGAGATTTTAGACAGGGCATTGACAATACTGAAAAAAAACTGAAAAGCTATATTTCATTGAAATTAAAAACTTCTGCTCTGGGACATACAAAATGAAAAGAAGAAAAGTCACAAACAAGGAGAAGGGCAGTAGTTGGCCTAGCAGTTAACTACCAGTCAGCACAAATGCACCGACATGGAGACCTGAACGGGGTTCCCAGCTCCCTGCTCGAGTCTCCCGGCTGAGGAAGGTTATCTGGAGTAAATCAGCAGATGGGAGCACTCTCTCCCTTTCTCTCTCCCTTTTTCCTCCTGCTTCTCAGAAAAATTAACAAAAGAACTATCTAACAAAGAACTGTTGCACAAAACAGGCAAAGATACGTACCAAAGATGGAAAATAAGAACATTAAGAGGAAGATCTGTATTGTATGTCATTAGGGAAATGCACACAACGACATCACTACACACATACTGGAATGACCAAAATTCACAACAGTGGTAGCACAAACAGTGGTGAGGATATGAAGCACTGTGATCTCTTGTCCACTGCTGCCAGGGGGCGGGCACTGTGATGCAGTCTGCAGGGCCACATCTCATATGGGTAACGGTTCAAGTCCCAGCTGCTCCACTTGCAATCCAGCTCCCTGATAATGAGCTTTGGGAAGGATGGTCCAAGTCCCTGGCCCCCTGCACCCATGTGAAAGGCCTGGATGAAACTCCTGGCTTCAGCCTGGTCCAGCCAAGGCTGACATGACCATCTGGGGAGTGAATCAGCGGATAGAATGTGTGTGTGTGTGTGTGTGTGTGTGTCTCCATCTCTCTTTCAAATAAAATAAATCAATCTTAAAAAAACATTGCGTAGACAAATAAGTCAATGAAACACTATCACCGACACAGAATATACCAACGTAAATACAGTGAAATACAGTCAAGTGACTTCTGACAAGGGTTCAAAAGTATTTCATTGGAAGAACTATACTTCTTTTTTTTGCAAATGGTGCAAGAATAAATAGGTATGCATAGTAAAAGAATGAACACTGATCTAAGCTTCACATTCTATTCAAAATTTAATTCAAAATGAATCATGGATTTAGCAGAAGACTATGAAGCTTTAAGAAGAAAAAAAAGGTAAAAATCTTTAAGAGCTATGGCTAGACAACAAGTTCTCAGACCTCATGTAAGAAAAAAGATAAACCAAACTTCCTCAAAACTAACAACACTTGTTCTTCAAGAGGCCCTAATAAGAGAATGAAAAACCAAGCCATAGATTAGAAGAAATTATGCGCAAAGGATGCATATGACAAAGGACTAGTAACTACAATATGTTGTTATAAAACTCTCATAGTTCTGTAACAGTAAAGAAATACTATCACAAAATGGGAATGAACAGATATTCTCACTAAAGCAAATATACAGACAGCAAATGATAAGATGTTCTCCATTACATATTAGAAAAATACACATTAAGGCCACAATTAGATATCACTATGTACTTAACAGAATGCCTAAAATAAAAAATAGTGACACCAGCAAATGCTGGCAAGAATACAGGAAAACGGAGTCCTTGCATAGGAATATAAAATACCATGGCCACACTAAAAACAGCATGGGAATTTCTTGAGAAGACTCACCATGTTCGGTTAACTATCATCCAGTCCAGCAATCGCACTCTCGGATATTTATCCCAGAGAAATGAAACTGTTTACACACAAGAACCAGCACACAAATATTTACAAAGCAGCTTTTTAATCTAACAACCAAAAAAATGGAAACAACCCACATGTCTTTATTTACAAGATTCTTTAAATGACAAAGGAGATTTGTAGATACTCTGAGAAAAAGAGGGAGTACGAAGGAAGGATGTGCTGTGACTATAAGAAGGCAACAAGAGGAAATTTCTGGTGATGAAAATACTGGGTATCTTCAGTGCAACGTATCAATGTCCCAGATGTGACATTATACAATCTGAGTATAGTTTCGTAAAATTCTGTGACTAGAGTACAATAGATAAAGGGCATACAGTATCCCCCCTACTATTTCTTACATGAATATACAATTATCTCAAATTTTTTAATGTCAAAAATAGAAAAAGAAAACAAGAAAAGCATGATAAAAGGGAATTTCTGCTGAAAAATAAAATGCTGTGACTTAGGTGTTAATTAAGTAGTACCATACAATTAAATTCTAAAAATGGAAGCAAATATGTTTCCTAAGAAAAAAGTACGGATGGGGCCGGCTCTATGGCCCAGCGGGTTAACGCCCTGGCCTGAAGCGCTAAGCGCCGGCATCCCATATGGGTGCCGGTTCGAGTCCCGGCTGCTCTACTTCCAATCCAGCTCCTTGCTATGGCCTGGGAAAGCAGTGGAAGATGGCCCAAGTCCTTGGGCCCCTGCACCCACACGGGAGACCTCGAAGCAGCTCCTGGTTCCCGGCTTTGGATCGGCGCAGCTCCAGCTGTTGCAGCCATCTGGGAAGTGAACCATCAAAGACCTCTCTCTCTCTCTGCCTCTCCTCTCTCTGTGTAACTCTTTCAAATAAATAAATAAATCTTAAAAAAGGAAAAAGTACTGATAAGGATAAATGACTCACAAGCCTACAAGCCTTAGCTTGTCTGTTGCCCTTGCAAACCATTTTTATGTTTAAGCTCATAAAACTACCACTGACTAGTCCTTGTCACTCTCTCCTTCTGTGTAATGTGTAACACTATGTGATGTCAATGCCTGCTGGACGCCAGGAGGCAAAAAAGAGAGAACTCAGAGGTTTCTTTAGTTTTACTGTTGATGAACTAATATAAATGTAAATGAAGACAAAGAACAACTAGACTGCATTCACTCACCTGCTTCATTAAATTCAGCTTTGGGTCTTTTCCGGCCTTGAATCTGAGATTTTTTTCGCTGTTTGGCTTCTTTTTCTTTCTCATCATCACTGAAATCTAAGGCCTAGCAGAGAAAAATATAGATTTATATCAATTCAATTTATCAATAGTACAAACTTAGAGGGAAAAAGAATAAGCCTATGTTCCCCACTAACTCTAAAAAAATGGTGGTCCTATTGATACTAAGTATTTTCTGGTAATACCTGAATAAATCAATTAGATTGATTTTTGATAAATGCCTAGTGATTCTTAATTAAAAGGCATCCTGACTCCATGATTCAATCATATGCCTGGGACAGGGGGGAGAGCATCAGGAAGTATTCAGACTTTCATTTTTTTTGTAGTTAACCTAATGAAATCTGTTTTTTGAGCAGTTAACATTACCATAATAATAACTTCAATGCTTAAGTCTGAAACAACAGGAACACATTATAATATTTGGATTTTACAACGAATATTTCAAGGCCTTTGTGAATCTTCAAACACTTTCAAAACATAAATTTCAGTAATAAGACGCTCTTCCCATAACTGAGAATGTTAAAGGAATGATCACTGTATATATAACATAACTAGAAAACATACTCCCATTTCAATATGAATGCTAAGGTAGGATTCCTCACTGATCAAATGATTCCCATCATATAAAATTCTCTTAGTTGGCATAAGCCTGACTCATGCCTCAGTAAAATTAGAAATTAACACATAACTGACCTTCAGCACAGCTTGACAACATCTAAAATACCCAAAATCTGCCAACAGCAAATGTCTATAATACTAAAAAACTTTTTGAGTACTGTTGAACACATCAAAAAACTCTCACATCTAACAATACTCTTCTTTTAAACTATATAAATTTATATTACTTTCAAGAAATGAATACACTCACAGCTGTAACTTTTGTATTGTAATTACTTTGACAGGGCGGAGCAAGAAAATGTGCTTAAAATCTCCACAGAAAATTCATCCAAACTAAATGATTTCCTCATTTACATATTATTCATGAATTTATTCCAATCTCTAGAAATACCAGATTATCAAGTTACTCTGGAGCACAAAATTATTGTTTTGTCGACACGGATACAAAAGAAAATTAAGAAGTCTCTTTTAAGGAAGATAATTACAATGTAAAAAGAAAGAGTGTGATATTATGATTCGTACCTCCAGAAGGAGGTCAGTTTATTATTAAAGTGCCACATAAATGTCTTCACATCCTTGATGGTGAATTTATTAAACTGAAGATGATTTTTTTAAAATAATGACATTCTGACTTTACCAGACAACAGCAAAATTGATAAAAGAAATTACAAGGTAAATAAGCTCATATTTAAAGTAATTATTAGGGGCCGGTGCTGTGGCGCAGAGGGTTAACACCCTGGCCTGAAGCGTTAGCATCCTATATGGATGCCGGTTCGAGACCCGGCTGCTCCACTTCCCATCCAGCTCTCTGCTATGGCCTGGGAAAGCAGTGGAAGATGTCTCAAGTCCTTGGGCTCCTGCACCCACATGAGAGACCCGGAAGAAGCTCCTGGCTCCAAGCTCCTGGCTTCGGATTGGCACAGCTCCAGCCATTGCAGCCAACTGGGTAGTGAACCATCAGATGGAAGACCTCTCTCTCTCTCTCTACCTCTCCTCTCTCTGTGTAACTCACTTTCAAATAAATAAATAAATCTTTAAAAAAATAATTATTAAAATGTTACAGGGGGCTGATACACATGGGAAAGCAGCAGAGGACGGCCCGATCCTTGGGCCTCTGCACCCACAAGAAAGATACAGAAGCAGCTCCTGGCCATTTGAGGAAGGAACAAGCAGACCGAAGACCTCACTCTGTCTCTCCTTCTCTCTCTGTAAATCTACTTTTTAAATAAATAAATAAATCTTTTTTAAATAATCAATCAAATAAAATGCTACATGGGCCAATGTTATGGTAGAGCAGTTTAAGCTGCCATCTTCCAGTGCCTGCAGCCCATTTGGGTGCCGGTTCAAGTGCCACCTGCTCCACTTCTGATCCAGCTCCCTGCTAATGTGCTTGGGAAAGCAGTAGAAGATGGTCCAAGTACTCAGGCCCCTGTAGTCCGCATGGTAAATCTGGAAAAAGTCCCAGCTCCTGGTCAGCCTGATCCAGCCCTGGCTGTTGTGGCCATCTGGGCAGGGAACCAGCAATGGAAGAGCTCTTCCTCTCTCTGTCTCACCCTCTCTCTGCAACTCCACCTTTCAAATAAATAAATAAATCTTTTTACAAAAAAGTTACTTTAAGTATTTACAACATTTATTAAAAGGTACATGCAATCATCTAGAAGAGTAGGGTAATGCATAGGCTAGAAGCAAGCAGCTGACTGTCAAGCAGTGTCAATGACCTTCTTAAGGTCAAGAATGTGTAAACAAAGTTATACTTACATCTGGTGGTGGTTCCTGATCATTCTTCCATGACGCGTCTGACCCCCTATCCCTAGATAAAGGAAAGAAAAAAATAAAGAAGCATTTAAGTCACTATAACACAATGGTATGGAACTAAAAAAGAGAAGACATGAACTCAACCTTTAATTTTACAATGCCAATAGAAACAGCAAAAACAAACAAAAGACAGAAAGAGGTATTTGACCTAGTGGTTAAGGTGCTGCATCCGGGGGCCAGCATTGTGGTGTAGCCAGTAAAGTCTCCAGCTGCAATGCAGGCATTCCATATGGGCATTGGTTAGAGTCCCAGTTGCTCCACTTCAGATCCAGCTCCCTGCTAATAACCTGAGAACATGGCTCTACTGCTTGGACCTCTGACAGTAACATGAGAAACTGGAGGAAGTTCCTGGCTTTGGTCTAGCCTAGCCCTGGCCATTGCAGCAATGTGGAGAGTGAACCGGCAGATGGGGGAATAACTGACTCTGTCTCTCTCACCCTATCTGTAGCTCTGATTTTCAAATAAATAAATATAAATATTTTGAAAACATGCTGCACCCCAAGGCTGGACACCTGGTTCCAGCCCCAGAATCCAGCTTCCTGCAAGTGCCAACTGTTGGAGGTTGCAGAAGTGGCATGCTGGGTAATGTCCACCCACACAGGAGACCTGGTTTGACTTCTTGGCTCCTGGCTCCAGCCCAGTGCAAACCTAGCCAAGGCAGGCATTTAGGGAGTGAACATCAGAGGGAAGCACGCTCTTTCTGCCTCTCAAATAAAAATAAATAAAAGATCACTTGTGTGTCCTTTACCTTATTTCAAATGATGCAGGGAGTTAAAAGTAGCTTTGGCAGTTCTCTCAATTTTTACATTCATGGCAGAGGTTTTCATAAAACTCAGTTCAATAAATGCTTATTCAATACCAACTACAGATCAGGAGCTGATCCAGCTGGTTAGGACACAAAAATGAATGAGGGATTCCTTTTTCTATAATTTCATAGGCTGGATGACAAAAATAATAATGGTTCTTTTCTCAATTCACAAGGGAATAATAATCCTTGTAAGTAACTGCAGGCTTATTCCTATTGTGACTCTCAAGCAGACAAGGTAAAATAAAGACTAAATCATTTGGAGAAGAGGTTCTCAGGATTTTGAAGAAGACTATAATCAGAAGCACATGTGAAATTACTAATTATAGTAGGAAATTAATTAATTTTGATTTAAGTTTTATACTCTATGACTAACAAAAGTAAATTCATTTATTATGAATATGATTTTCTAATTTTTGAAATCTCATTTTCAATCTTTTCTGAAATCTTAGTGATTTCGTAGTTTTACACAGTATCTTCTTATTCAGTTACATTAAAATATTACAAAGTATTTCACTAGGTGAACGCTCACTGAGTCATACTAGATCTTGAAAATGAGAGTCTCAGGAATTAATGCCATCAAAATCAATGCACAGAGGTCAATTTGCTAGTACAAAATGAAAATCATTATGTTTGCTTTAATGTTTGCTTCAGAACTTCAGCATTATATCAGGCGTTATCAACGTGACTGCCATCACTTAAAAGAAAAAAGAGCATTTACTCAACTGTGACTTTATACCAGTGCACAACACAGCTCCAGAACTCCTTTTGGCAGATGAGCCATCTCATGACCTGCAGTGTCCTCAGTTTAAAGACATAAATGGGGAAAATTCCCAATTCAACATTACTACAGGAAATCAGAATCTACCAAGGGAAGATCAAGTAACATTTCATAAAGCACTTTTAACAAGGAAATAGGTAAGCGCTGACTCTGTGGCCTAGCAGTTAAGCCACTGCACTACCTACAAGACAGCACCCCCGGAGCGTCAGTTCAAGTCCCAGCTGCTCCAATCTGATCCAGCTCCCTGCTAATGGGCCTGGGAGAGCAGTGAAAAATGGCCAAGTGCTTGGGCCCCTGCACTCACGTAGGAAACTGGGAAGAAGCTCCTGGTTCCTGGCTGCAGCCTGGCCCAGACCTAGCTGTTGTATCGATCTGGGGAGTGAACAAGCAGGTGAGAGTGAACAAGCAGGTGAAAGATCTCTCTCTCCCTCTGTGTGTGTGTGTGTGTGTGTGTGTGTGTGTCTGACTTTCAAATAAATAAATCTTTAAAAGAAAAACAATCAATACCTGGGAAGCTAAGATTAAATCAGCCTTCCCAGTGGCCAGTAACCTTAAAAGGAGCTCAACTCTACCTCAAAGGCAAAATACTCTACGGAGCCGCATGTGGCCTGGAATAGTCTCCACAAGGTGGGTTCTGCAGTGTGAGCCAGCTTCCCAATGCTCTGGATCATTCTCATTTCTCTCCAGGAGAGTTGTAAATCAATAACAAAGACCATGCAAATTATCTACAATCTATTTAATAAACATTTCAAAAAACTTTTTCAGTCTATCTAAGTTAAAATGTTTTATTGTTAAAACTTAATGACACAGCTACAGCAGCATTTTGATACTCAAGCAGAATGAAATTAAAGAACTACATTAAAACATATTAAAATCTTTATGAACTTACATCTATTTAATTCATCTTTCTGGTCAGCAGTTACTTAGGAAAATTAGCCTTACACAGCCTGAAGCATTAATTAGGGCAAAATGTTTCTTCAGATCATTATGTGGAATCTTAAATCAGAGTTTAATCAATTACCAAGACCAAAATTTTCATCTCTGAAATAATAAATGAAATTCAGAGACTTGATTTAATATGTAAGCTGCATATGCCACACAGCTGGGACCAGTGCTTACTGACATTGCTTTATATTTCCTGAGAAATTACATCTATAAAAATGCATCTATATTTCAAGTTTTTAAAAGGAGAGCTTGAACTAAAAGTAAACTGTATATCAAGCAAGTCATTTTGAATTCAACATTCCCTTCATTTACCTCAGTCTTCTGCAGTCTTTTCTTTCCCTAATTTGACAGTATTTTTTAGTTATTGAAATTCCTCTTGCCAAAGTACTCAACATAATCCTATAGAAAAACTTATTCTATTTGAACTCACAGGCTATGTCTATAGGAAAAATTAAATTACATAACTATAACAAGTTTGAATGATATAAGAAACCTTACATCTCACAATTGGCAACAAAACATTTGAAAAACACACAATGAACCAGCAGGAGCACAAACACACAGAAATAACTGCTAGTCATGTGCCAAGATATCATTTGGGACAGAGTGAGGATTTAGTGTCTGCATCAACCCAATTTAATGTCTTCATATACAACTTTGTAGGAACACATCTTAGTTGCCTATTCTAAAAATGTGCAACTGCACATTCTAAGGAACCGAGGGGTCGGAGCATCTAAGGAGCCTGCACGCTGCAGCAGGCGCTGGTAAAGTCACCAACTGCAACACCGGCACCCTCTATGACAGCCAGTTAGTCCCAGCCGCTCCTCTTCAGATCTACCTTGCTGCTAACACGCCTGGGAAAGCAGGGGACGACCCCAGGTGCTTGGCCCCTGCCAGTCACTTGGGAGATGTGGATGGGGTTCCAGACTCCTGGCTTCAGTCTGGCCCAGCACTACTTGTTGCCGTCATTTAGGGAGTGAACCAATGGTTGAAAAATTACTCTCCCGAATGCACTAGCGCTCTCGCTCTCGCTCGCTCTGTGTGTGTGTGTGTGTGTGTGAATGCGTGTAACTCTGCCTTTCAAATAAATAAATCTTAAAAAAGAACCTAAAATTTACTCATTTTTTTACTGAAAAATTTTATTGAGTAGAGAATTCTATGAATGTAATCCAAAGACTATATAAAACAAAACAATTTTTAAAATTAAAATACTGGGGCCGGTGCTGTGGCACAGCAGGTGCTGGCATCCCATATGGTTACTGGTTCAAGTACTGGCCGCTCCTCTTACAATCCAGCTCTCTGCTGTGACCTGGGAAAGCAGCAGAAGATGGCCTAAGTCCTTGGGCCCCTGCACCCCCGTGGGAGACCCGGAGGAAGCTCCTGGCCCCTGGCTTCGGATCAGCACAGCTCCGGCCGTCGTGGCCAATTGGGGAGTGAACCATCAGATGAAGACCTTTCTGTCTCTGTCTCTCTCTCTCTGCCTCTCCTCTCTCTGTGTAACTTTCAAATAAATAAATAAGTCTTTAAAAAAATTAAAATACTAAAGTTTATAATGGAAAATAACAATGAATTAGAATTCAGAAAATAAACATGACCCAAATGTGCTCTTGGTAGCTAATCATGTTATTTTGGGCAAAAGATGTATAGGATTTTCACCTATAAAGTCAGAAAATACTGTAGTTTTTAGTGATGTTACTAGAAAGATAAATGAACTCTGGATGACAGACACCATCATTTAAGAAAAACTACCATAAGATAAGCAAAGAACAATTAACATGTCAGAAAAAGGTACTTACTGTTTCAGTTTCTCTGTAAATATATATTGGGTGAAGTCTTTCATTGATGGAGCAAAATACATAGTCTCCTTTATTTTAATACCTTTACTTTCAATGTGGTCTGATGAATTAAATCGTAAAACATAAAACGGATGTGCAACAGGTCCAAATATCTCAAATATCTATGGAAGAAACAGAAAGGCTTCTTTTTACATGTTAAATAACTCAAAGATTTAAAAATATTTTCTTTTAAAAAACTGATAATTTTTAAAATAAGGTAAGTTTGTTAATGTTAGAGCACTAAGTTATATATATATTCAAGTCGACTTTATATATACTCAAAGTCTTTATAATTTTCCTTATAAATATAATAGTTCATTCCAGATTTCTTTTTTGAATTTAAAACTGTGAAGAGTCTGTTCCTTGCCAAATCAAATGATTCTGGTGGTATCAATAAGATGTATATTGCAATTTTTAAAAATTAATTGCTTATTTAATAGGTTGTAAGGTACAAAGAACTGCAACTGTCAAGTTTTAAAAAGTGAAATGCTGGAGCCAGCACTGCAACACAGTAGGTCAATCCTCCACCTGCAGCGCCAGCATCCCAGATGGGCGACAGGTCCAGTTCCGGCTGCTCCTCTTCCCATCCAGCTCTCTGCTGTGGCCTGGGAAAGCAGCAGAAGATGGCCCAAGTGCTTGGGCCCCTGGGCCCACATAGGAGATCCATAGGAAGCTCTTGGCTCCTGGCTTTGGACTGGCTCAGCTCCAGCCATTGCAGCCATTTGGGGAGTGAACCAGCAGATGGAAGGCCTTTCTCTCTCTCTCTCCCTCTCCCTATAACTCGACCTCTCTAAATAAATAAATAAGTAAGTAAAATGCTTTCTGCCTTTGGAATCTTGTAACAGGAAACAGAAAGCAGTATTTCTGGGCTACTGTTTTGGTGCACTGGATTAAGCCCCACTTGCAATGCAGGCAACCCATATCAGAGTGCCAGTTCACACTTTGGCTGCTGCATATCCAACCTGGTTTCCTGCTAAGGCACCTGGGAAGGCAGCTGAAGATGGTGTGCCTGGATCTGAGTGCCTGGACCCCTGCCTCACAAGTCAGGTTATGGGTGTTGGCTGCAGCTTGGTCTAACCCTGGCTCCTGTGGCCATTTGGGGAGGGAACCAGTGAATGAAAGATGTCTTTGTCTCTGTCTCTCCCTCTCTCTTTTGTCCTCTGCCCCCTTTCAAATAAATAAATCCTTAAAATGCTTCTGCTATAACAAGTATTTAATCACATCTATAGTTTCCACAGTATTAATATTTTTAGAAAATTAAACAACTTTCTAATTTAAAAAGCAGTAAACCTGAACTTTGAAGTTACTTATTTCTAAAAGAACTGAAAATGCTACAACCTTTAACTTAATACCTGAATTTAAAAAAAAAATTCTGATAATATATGCATTTTGTAGACACTAGACCATAAACAATGCCTGGGTAGATTTTTCCAGTCTTTTTAATATTAGTCATTTATTTTCAAGACTACAATGTAGTTTTGTATACTGGCCCCTCTTAAAACCTAAAGTTGTATTAAATTTTCCATGTAATAAATATTCCTCAAAAGTAACTCTTTCACAGATCTAGAATGATGTATTTATATTATATTATAGGACATGCAGGCAGCAGTTGCTGCTTGCCGTATCGAATGCTGACATCCCATATTAGAGAGTCTGGGATCAAGTCCTAAGTTGTGATCCAGCTTCCTGTCAATGCACCTGGGAAGCAGCAGATGAAGGCCCAAGTACTTGGGTTCCTGCCACCCTCATAGGAGACCCAGGTGGAGTTCCTGGATCCTGCCTTCTTCCTAGCCCAGCCCCAGATGTTCCACATTTGGGGATCGAATCTGCAGATGAAAGCTCTCTCTCTCTCTCTGCCTCCCCCTGTCTTTCAAGTAACTGAGTCACTGTCACCCACATGGGAGACTGGATGAAGTTCCTGGCTCCTGCTTTCAGTCTGGTCAAACCCTGGCTAACAGCGGCCATTTGGAGAATAAAGGAGCAGACGGAAGATTCTCTCGATTTTTTTCCCCTTAAAGTAGTCTAAGTTAATTACTAAGAGAAAAAGGCAACCATCACGAAATAAATCAAAGGAATCAAGGAAATTATCAGTTTTAATACCTCACTTCATATTCAAATAATCAAGAAACATAATTGTGTTCTCTTTCTTCCAAAACCAACTCTCTACAACTTTCTTAAGGACAGGAAATGTTTTGTTTTTTCCAGGGCAGAAAATTGGTTTCTCATAAAGCAGCAGACCAATGGGTATGGAGAGCTACTCACAGCAGTCATCTACTTACATGCAATTACCTTTCTTTCTCAACCCTCTCCGAGGGGAAGCCCCTAACATATCTCTAACTCATTACAAAGGCACTACAGTAAATACAGCTAATACTCTCCTATCATACTTATTCTTTCAAGCAGAAGAACTGATATCCACACTTGTACCACAAATACTAAGTATATGTATTCGAGAGGGAAAAATAAGCACAGCACAATCCTTCTAACTATCAAGCTGTTTCTTCCCCTCACAAACTTTCTCAAAAATTGCCTAAAATATTAGCACTGCATACTCCAATTAACTCTGACACGGACTGCTTTGCAATGAGGTGTCTAGGCCTCTGACAAAAACCTAATCCCTTTCTAATCTGTATTAGCATAAAATAGCAGGAAAGGCAGAAAGCATGGAAGGTTCTATGAGTTGACTCAATAACACAGCTTAAAATATTTGCTTTTCCCTGATTAGGCACGAATCAATTTTATCTCCCAGAACTACAACAAAAAAGAAGCCAACTCTTGCTTACCTGGAAACCATTAAGCCCCAGTAACTTGTTTCTCCACAGACAGTGGGTGGGTGGGTGGTTTGCTTCTCACTCAATGAACACTTATTTAACACATGTAATGAATCGGAAAGGATTCTACTGTGTCCTGTAGAAATCCTGAGGTGAACAAAACGATCCTACTGCAGGAACTGGTCAGCTGTGTTTACACTGCTGACCGCGGAAGGTTTTACATCCTCTGTTGCTGCTCAGACCACCTACTCTTTGGAGAATGTGTACAGTTCCCCATACTGAGGACAGAGTTGTTCCACTAGTAAGATGTTAAAGGGAGACGGAATCTATGGTTACTACTAAAACACACATATTCATCAATTCCCCAGAATGTTTCTAAAGTGACACTTCACCACTGTCACTGAAATCATTTCCACTTGAATTTTATCCTCAACTTCCACCTGAGGAAGCCAAAGTCTAAAAAATTTGAAAGCCACCATTCAAAGGATTTAAGAACGATTACAGTGTAGAAATTCTATTTCACTCAGCTCCGAGTACCTGCAAGTAGGGTACAATGTCTCTCACTTAATTATGTAGACTCATCAGCCAGAAAGTATCTGATCAATATAGGGAACAAATTCTACATATGTCTATGTAAGGACTCAGGCAGCAAAGAAAAAGTAACATTAAATAAATTCACAGAAAAAAGTTATCAAAGAAAATCAAGAATGCATTACATTTGAGCTCTAGACTGTGCTTCTACTGAAATTAGCAAACTCTTCTTAGAACAAAGAAGGAAACTCGGAAGTACCAATCAACAAGGAAACACATAATCTGTAGGATCTGAAATGTTCTTCACAAACCTTTCCTGCTGCTTGTCGATCACTTTTAAAAATTACAGTCTCTTCATTAACTGGAGGTAAATTACTCATAGATTCAATGATTACTGGAAAATAAAACAAATTTCAACACTGAATCAGATGACAATTACAGAATTCTAATGAGAATTTAGAATTTAATTCCAATATAATTTAAAAAAGAGTTTAAAAAGGCAGGCATTTAGCCTAGCGGCTCAGGTGTACACATCCCGTGTTGAAAGACCAGCGTTCATTCCCCAGCTCCAGCTCTTCATTCCAGCTTCCTGCTAATGCAGACTCTTGGAGAATGCATTGATGGCTCCAGTGACTGGGCTCCTGCCACCCATGAGGGAGACATGGATTGAGTTCCTGGCTCTGGCATTTGCCTGACCCAGCACAATCACCGCAGGCATTTCAGAAGTGAACCAGTGGATAGGAACTCTCTACCTACCTTGTCTCTTTGCTTCTCAAATAATTTTTAGAATAAATAAAATTTAAGGTGTGATAATATACCTCAGGAACTAGCCCTCTTCCATAACAAAGTCTTGTTATTACCAAACAGCCCAAGAGACATAGCCTGTACCTATTTATCACATAAAAGCTACAATTCTTAGAGAAAAATTAAAATATAAAATCTCACATAAATTTGGATCATCAATTAAAGAGCTAATAAATTTAAGCTGCTTGCATTTTCTCAAGCAATTTGAACAAAGTAGAATAATCATACTGGGACGTAAAACTCCTGTTACGATGCAATGAGTTTTATGTTTCATTGTAGAACTCTTCTACAGTGCAAAGATTAGTCACGGACATATAAAAAAGCAAAGTGCTTCACTAAAGTATCATCCTCTGAACAGAAGACTGACAGAAATCAGAGAAAGTGTTATCATCACTCTGATGAGTCAAACCACATGAAAATTACTATGTGTGTATCACCTAATCCAAGGAACTAGAGATTAGCACATTAACATTCACACATTAACACTGTTAACATACTCAAGGCAGTTGTCAACAGAACCTACAACTTTAGTTCCAATGCTCTCATGTGTGTATCACCTAATCCAAGGAACTAGAGATTAGCAGATTAACATTCACACATTAACACTGTTAACATACCCAAGGCAGTTGTCAACAGAACCTACAACTTTAGTTCCAATGCTCTTTCTAGAAGAACTAAGCAACTGACTGCGCCTACAGTCCCATTCACTTACGATTCTAGAGGGAAGCAGTTTCAGCTAACTGGATACAAATGAACTCAGAGTCTGTACTATGTGTTAATAAAAACTTTCAAAGGCCCTCAAACTAACAGAAAGTATAGACTAGAACAAGACTACTAATTCTGTACCATCTCTCCACTTCTACTAGATATACTATCTAATTAGCCTCTTGTTTTATCCAAATTAAAAGAAAACAAAAAGACCATCACGGCTTGTAGATTTGGCATGCCACACCAAATCCTCTCTTTTTATATTTAGATCTTTATTTGAATTCACAGACTATTTTGCCTAAACTACTAGTACTTGTTTCTCATTTATAATTTGGTTCTAACAGTGCTAGTTACTTTAGGCTTTCAAAACATGGTAGTATGCAACTTTTGCATGTGCTGCTTTTGTTTCATTCACACGAGGTTAAGAATGTTGTTAGTTCTATTACAATATACATCAGTATCATCAAAAAGCATTATTACATGTGTCTCTTATAATTCACATGTATTCTCTTACAGATCAATATTTCTACTTAAAATTTTTCTGTATACATAAAGTGCAGTTAATGCTAAACTCACTATATAATCAAGAATTAATCACCTATTTATCTACACATACTACTAAATAACACAAGATAATGACTCAGGGATCACATTATGTGATTTTTGTAAATGTCTCACTTTAAACTTTATTAACAAAATAAAAATACAAAATTAGTAAAGTATGACTTTTTAAAATACTGATATGAATATTATTAGAAAAAGGTCAAAAGATAAAGTCACTTATACAATTTACAAGGAAAGCAAATGACTCGTATTTATCTGTATTAAGATCTATAAACTATTACAGTTGGCAAGCAATTTAGTTCTTTTCTCAATTCAAACATCTTATGATTTTGTCAACACTGAGTTCTACTACCCTAATTGTTAATAGTACTTACATTAATTTAATGATTTACCTCACACCTTAGAGCTAAACAAATGTACAATATCCGGTTCCCCCAACCCAAATGCCCATCAACATTAGACTGGATAAAGAAATTATGGGACATGTACTCTATAGAATACTATACAGCAGTCAAAAACAATGAAATCCGGTCATTTGCAACAAGATGGAGGAATCTGGAAAACATTATGTTGAGTGAATTAAGCCAGTCCCAAAGGGACAAATATCATATGTTCTCCCTGATCGGCGACAACTAACTGAGCACCAAAGCGGAAACCTATTGAAGTGAAATGGACACTATGAGAAACAGTGACTTGATCAGCTCTTGTCCTGACTGTTGATGTACAATTTAATACTTTATACCTTTTAGTATTTTTTTTGTTCTAGTACTATTGGTTGAACTCTGTAATTAACACACATTTATTCTTAGGTGTTGAAATTTAACTAAAAAGTGATCCCTGTTAAATATAAGAGTGGGAATAAGAGAGGGAGGAGATGTACAATTTGGGACATGCTCTAGCTGACTTGCCCCAAATGGTGGAGTTAGAAATGTACCAGGGGATTCCAATACAATCCCATCAAGGTGGCAGGTACCAATGCCATCTCACTAGTCCAAGTGATCAATTTCAGTTCACAATTGATCACACTGATAGGTCTAAGAGTCAAAGGGATCACACAAAGAAGACTAGTGTCTGCTAATACTAACTGATAGAATCAAAAAGGGAGAGAACGATCCATCATGGGAAGTGGGATACACAGCAGACCCATAGAATGTCAGATGTCCTAAATAGCACTCTGGCCTCAGAATCAGCCCTTAAGGCATTCGGATCCGGCTGAAGAGCCCATGAGAATATATCAGGCATGGAAAGCCAAGACACCCTGGAAAAGAAAAAAAAAGACCTAAATGAAAGATCTCTGTGAGTGAGATCCCAGTGGAAAGAACGGGGCCATCAAAGAAGGAGGTACCTTTCTCTGAAAGGAGGAGAGAACTTCCACTTTGACTAGGACCCTGTTGGAATAAGATCGAAGTTGGCGAACTCAAAAGGCTTCCATAGCCTTGGCAACTCATGACTAGAGCCTAGGGAGATTATTGACGCCATAAACAAGAGTGTCAATTTGTTAAGTCAACAACAGGAGTCACTGTGTACTTACTTCTCATGTGGGATCTGTCCTTAATGTGTTGTCCAATGTGAAGTAATGCTATAACTAGTACTGAAACAGTATTTTACACTTTGTGTTTCTGTGTGGGTGCAAACTGATGAAATCTTTACTTAATACATACTAAATTGATCTTCTGTATATAAAGATAATTGAAAATGAACCTTGATGTGAATGGAATGGGAGAGGGAGCAGGAGATGGGAGGGGTGCGAGTGGGAGGGAAATTATGGGGGGGGGGGGGTAAAGCCATTGTAATCCATAAACTGTACTTTGGAAATTCATATTTACTAAATTAAAAAAAAAAAACAATATCCAGTTCCCACATAATATAGGTTTCATATATCATGTCATTGATATAATTATTAAATCACGGAACTTTCAGTTTAAATGCTTCTAAGATAAATCAAAGGTGACAGGTAGAATGCTTCCCCCAAAAGATATCCCCACTCTAATCCCTATATCAGTGACTATTTTACCTTACCAAAAAAAAAGAAAGACTTTGTATATGTGATCAAAGTTAAGGATCTTGAAATGGGAGAGATTATTCTGGATTGTGCAGGTAGGCTTACCCTAGAGTCCTTAAAAGCAAAGAATCTTTCCAGAGTTTGATCAGATAGAGATATGCTAACGAAAGAAGGGTCACAGAGAAGCTACATCATTGGTTTGGATGATGGAGGAAGAAAGCCATGAGCCAAATATGTGGGCAGGCTCCAGAAGCCTAAAGCAGCAAGAAACCAGAACTCACCTACACCCTACTGGAAGGAATTCAGCCCTGCTAGACATCTTGATTTTAGTTCCCTGAGATCCTTATCAAACTTCCACTCCACAGAACTGTAAGACAGTAAATACACTGTGCAAGCCACTAAGATTGGGGTAATTTGTTTTAGCAGTGAGGAAAAATAACAGAACATTCTGGAGAAATGGTGTCAGTAAAAAGACTAAACCTTCATAAAGGAAAAACAAAACATTACCTATGTGAGCGAAAACTCAATCTTATTCTTTTAAACTTAATGACTGTAAAATGAAGTGGTTCTACCTATTTCAAAGAAAATTTACTAGTCTTTGAGTCCTTTGTTAGATTATCAGGGCATTTATGACTATAAACAATTTTATTAATAAAGTTATTTACATACCTAGTTGCTCAATAATGCTTGAAACCATTCCAAGAGGCTTTAATTCAATATCTTCTGGCAGAATAATAGTGAGTTCTTCAACAGAAGGTAGTTCCTTTAATATAGAAAAAGCATTAATCTTACCCCAGCTTCAACAGCTTAAAAAAAGAGACATTTTTCATTTAAAGTGCTACACACATCCCTGAGGATATCTATAAGCATATTAAGTGCTGAAAGCATCTGTTTAATGTTATCCTTTCAAGTGGTTTAATGGACTTCTGTTAGCATCTCTCCCACCTCTCCCAGGAACCAACTGAGGTACAGCATATATACCTTAAATCCACTTAGACTAAGAATTCACACAAAAGTAACTTTCCAGATTTTTCTAATCACACTTGAACAAAAGACCAGAAAAAAAAAGGGGGGGGGGTGGCAGAGGAAATGTGATTACTAAAGGAATCCAGAGAAATTCCATTTGAAGAGAAATAATTCTAATGGTAACGAATTTTTCCACAAGAGAGTTCTGTGAGCTGTCTTGTTAATTTACATAATTAGTTAGACTGTGATTAAACAGAAGAACACATAGGCAGCCATCTTTTTGCAGGCTGCATGAAGAAGAGGTGAGTGGCCTCTTCAGAAAAAAAAAAAAAAGGACATGACACCTAACAGTCAAGCATAAAACTCTTAGAAATAAATGTAGGCTTCAGCCTCTGAAAGCCGTGAAGGTGTTGTCTGATACTCTCTCTAGATAAAAAATACATTTCTTTACACCTAAAGATTTCTCTTTTCTGACCCACCTACAAACTGTATCTCAGTTGCTATAGAAACTGGGTACTGAAGTAGAGATGAAGTTGGAGAGGAATCTAAGAATAAAACTGACTTTTGCCTTCAAATTAAATAAACAAACTTCCTGCTCTTGACCCTTGCCAGATGGCATTAACTCTTAAAATAAAGCTTTCCTTAAGAAATCTTGAAAGTGCAAAGACCCTAACAACAGTCTATTAACAGTCGATTTGTGAGAAAAGGATAACTTCTGGAAAACATTAGAAGATATGGGAAAACTAAATAATGAAACTATTATTATTGATGAATGTATTATGGTAATCATCCCCGTTGGGATTTTAAACAAGGTTTTCTGAAGTTTTTTTTTTTTTTACTTGAAAAAAAGAGCCACAAAAAGACATACATACACACGTGCACATGCACACACACATACACTAGATTATCTTCCATCTGCTGGTTCAACCCCCAAATGGCCCCAAAAGCCACATGTACAATCATTTCATCAGAGCTGAGGAGCAGACATCTAAAATACACTCTGCCTCTGAGACATGTCGTTTTGGTCAAGGACTATTTATGAAGAACCACAGTAAGAGTCTCAATAAACTCAATGCAGGAGAAAGCCAGCAACCTGCGTCTGCATGGTCAGTCTCCCACGTGCTGAAGGAAATGAGTTGGCTTTATCTGTCAGAATTCCTCTGAGCACCTTCAGGAAAAGACAGCCAACTGCACTTTTAATTACTAAATCTGGAAAGCCTTTTCTGTGTTTATGTCAGAACAGAGAAGGGAGCTCAGTCGTTAGGACAACGTGTTAAGGAATATATGACATGACATAACATTTTTAAAGAAGTTCTTGGCTAAAGAAATTTCACACCTTGTTCCAGGCTCTTGTTAGGCCTGGCCCAGCACCAACTGGGGCAGCCATTTGGGGAGTGACCCAGGGGATGGAAGATCTCTGTCTCTCCCTCTCTCTATGTAACTCTGCCTTTCAAATAAAATAAATCTTTACGAAAATTCATTGATACTTTCTTCACTTCTCTAGCTTCATTTTCAACACTCATATTTGCATACTGGGTCCATCTGCAATTTTATTCCTGTATAAAAGATATACTCAGAGGGCTGGGGCTGTGGCACAGTTAAGCCCCCGCCTGCACTGCTTGCATTCCAAATGGGCACCAGGCTGCTTCACTTCCAATCCAGCTCCTTGCTGATGGCCTGGGAAAAGCAGAAGAGAATAGCCAAAGTACTTGGGTCCCTGCATCCACGAGGGAGACCAGGATGAAACTCTTGGCTCCTGGCATCAGTCTGGCCCAGCCCTGGTTGCTGCCACCATCTGGAGAATGAACCAGCCGACAGAAGACCTCTCTCTCTGCCTCTGCCCCCACATCTCCCTCTTTGTAACTCTGCCTTTCAAATAAATAAATAAATCTTAAAAGAAAAAAAAATATAAGATATACGCAATTCCCTGCCACCCCTAAGGGAGCCCTGGGTTGAGTTCTAGGCTCCAGACTTCAGCCTGCTTTAGCCCTGGCTGTTGTGTGCATCTGGGAAGTGATCTGGCAAATCCTAATCACTGCATTAACATTTTTCTCCCTGAAGTCTTTCTAGCTGTTTTCCTATGTTTATTTTACTAGATAAACATTAAGAAGCATTTTGCCACATTAGTGTTGCTAAGTGTTGGCTGAGGTCACATTTAATGATAGCTGTCTTTGCACAGGTGCTTACATAAAAGCTTAGGCTTACTTCAAGCTGTTTATACTTTACTTGTCATTATACATTCCTGGATAATTTAATATCTCTTATTGTTTTTATCAGTGGATTCTTTACAGGGAAATGCTTGAATGCAACAAAGCATTAGGCTGAAATTTATTTCTGGTGATTTTCTTGCGTATTTACTATGCAAGTCCTCCTTTGTAATGTTAGTACATCGTATTTTTCACTTTCCAAATCATACTGACTGGTGTTTCCAGAATGCCAACACTTATCAAGCAATTGTGGCAATGGTGGCCTCGATGTCATTCTATTAGAAGAAATGTTTCAAATGTTAAACGTGATGCATTCTGACTGAAATAATGAAATTTTAAATGTATCCATCTATTCCTGCAGTCTTGTTAATCAAAAATGATTACTGATCATCATCAGATGTCTTAACAATGAGATCATTACAAGATTTTCTCTTGTCATTCAGGCTATAGGATCTGATGAAGTCCTGATGTTCTGCTCCAAAAAGTAGCTGACCCACCTAGCATGAGGAAAACAAGGGAAGATACACAAAGTCAGAACACTTGTGGTGAGGCAGGAATTCAGCTAGTGGTCAAAAACAGAATCTGGAGTGCTGGGCACAGCAATTAAGATGCCACTTGGGCTGTCCACATGCCAAACTGGAGCACCCAAGTTCAAGTCTCAAATATGCTTGACTGAAGTTCCTGCTAATGTGCACCCTAGGAGGCAACAGGTGATGGCCCAAGTAGCTGAGTCCCTACCACCTAAGTGGGAGCTTCAGCTTGAGTTCTGCACTCCTGATTTCAGCCTGGCCCAGCCCCAGCTGTTGTGGTTATCTGGAGACTGAACCAGCAAAAAGAAAACTGATCTCTGTCTCTCTGCCTTTCAAATAAATGAAAATACATGAATAAATAAAAATGTTAATAAGACACATCTGGCAGGTTTCCTTAATTCCAGTCACTGCCTTGTTTCCAACCTGCATTTAAGAATGAAGTTTCTACTACACATTGGGAGGATCTCTGATTTTGTGCAGAAACAAACTTAGGGGAGAAAATCAGACCCAGGCACCGCTATCTGTGATCATCACACAGTTCCAATTTCAGTTCAGTGATCCTATTACCCTGCACCACAGGAATGTACATACAGTTTCCTGAGCACTTCTTTACAGGCGTTAAGTTGCCCCTTGACAGTAACAGAACCAACCTCCAAAAAGGAATGCTCACGAACACTCTATCATAAATACTTTGCAGAACACAAAATAGATACCAAAAAAACAAACAAAAAACGCTAAATACTGTACACAAACATGCAAGAGATAAGTAAATGAAACGAGTGTTCTGCCTTATAAAGTCCAGTTAAGTGAGGCAGTATATACTTGCCTTGAGAATGGCAGATATTTTGGTGACTGAATCAAAACAAAACAAACCTCTTTGATCTTCTTAATGAGCACAGAAGACGACAGAGGGAAAAATGTCCCAAACCACATAACAAGAATCCATCCAAAAGATGTGCTTCTTTGAAGATCTCAGTCAAGTTCAAAGAGCCAGAACTTCAGCAGGTTCAGAGAGGAAGCTCCATGTATTGTCATGTCAGATGGAGCAAAGTAAGATCTTACCTTGATATCTGGATGCCAATGCCACCATATCTTCCCTAACTATTAAATCTAAAGTACCTTCCTTTCTCTGAAGGGAGGAGAGAACCTCCACTTTGACTATGACCGTGTCTAAACAAGATAAGAGTCGGAGAACTCAAGGGGCTTCCATAGCCTTGGAAACTCATGACTGGTGCATAGGGAGATTACTGATGCCATAAACAGGAGTGTCAATTTGTAAAGTCAACAACAGGAGTCACGGTGCACTTACTCCTCATGTAGGATCTCTGTCCTTAATGTGCTGTACATTGAGGCTTAATGCTATAATGAGTACTCAAACAGTATATTTCACTTTGTGTTTATATGGGGGTGCAAACGGTTGAAATCTTTACTTAATGTACACTAAACTGATCTTCTGTTAAAAAAAAAAAAAAGAAAGAAATTATCAATTCCCAACTTGACTCTCACTGGGATTAAACATGACAATAGGTCTGATCTGATTTCATCATCATTTAAAAAAAAATCATCTATTATTTTTCACTTTATGTTTCTGTGTGGGAGCAAACTGTTGAAATCCTTACTTAATGTACACTAAGCTGATCTTCTGTATATTAAGATAATCGAAAATGAATCTTGATGTGAATGGAAGGGGAGAGGGAGTGGGAAACGGGAGGGTTGTGGGTGGGAGGGACGGTATGGGGGGGGAAGCCATTGTAATCCATAAGTCGTACTTTGGAAATTTATATTCATTAAATAAAAGATAAAAGATAAATAAATAAATAAATAAAGTGTACTATTTGGTCAAAAAAAAAATCTAAAGTACCTTCCCACCACCATGCCTAGTCATTCTCTTTATATTATTCTGCTGTTTTATTAAATATATTATTGCTTAAAATTCTGTTTGCTTACATAATGTCCATGTCTCTAACCACACAATAAATCCAACAATTAACTAAGATCTGGGCAACTCTGCTCACTGCTGGAGCATCAGAAAGATGGTAAGCACACAGTAGGTATCTAGG